AGGGCCCTGTGGGGTCTAACCAGCCTTGTTAGTCCCGCAGAGCCCTGGTGAGACCCCTTTAGTGCCCTGATGAGACCCCACATAGCCCTGGTGAGACCCCACAGAGCCCTTGTGCTGGTCTCACCAGACAGAGCCCTGGTGAGACCAGACGGAGCCCTGGTGAGACCCCACCGAGCCCTGGTTTAACCAGGGTGAGATAGGGTCTCAAAGCACCAGGGCGAGATAGGGTCTCACCGGTGCTCTGTGGGGTCTCACCAGCCTGGTTAGACCCATTCAGGGCTCTGGTGAGACCCCACAGACTAGGGATCTGTGGGGTCTCACCAGGGCTCTGAGGGGTCCTCACCAGGGTAGCAGGGTTCTGTGGGGTCTCACCAGGGCTCTGAGGGGGCCTCACCAGGGTAGCAGGGTTCTTTGGGGTCTCGCCAGGGCTCTGAGGGGGCCTCACCATGGTAGCAGGGTTCTGTGGGGTCTCACCAGACTGGTTAGACCCCTTCAGGGCCCTGGTGAGACCCCACAGACCAGGGATCTGTGGGGTCTCACCAGAGCTCTGAGGGGGCCTCACCAGGGTAGCAGAGTTCTGTGGGGTCTCATCAGGACGAGATACCAAAGAGCAGGGCTCTCCACAGGGCTCTCACCTGCTTTCCACAAGGCTCTCCAGGCTGCCACTCCAGTACTGTGTGTGCTGTGCTGGCCGTGTCTTGTGGGCGTCTCCATCAGCTTCTGCAGTTAAACTCCGCCCAGAGATCCTCGTGTGGTGGATGGGAGGGGTGAGGTCTCTTCTCAATGGCTGGTGGGCTGAGCTCCGTGCAGAAGACCGAGCCGATGGTCCGCACCAACGATCAGCTAACGGATGAGCTCTCAGCCCGGTCACTGTCAAACTTGAGAGTCTCAGTTTGGCAGCTACAGGGATGAGAGCTCACAACGCTACCTGGCTGCCGTTCGACAGGGCAAACTAGGCGGCCGCGAGGCCCTCGGGAGCGCGAGGCCTAAGGCGACCGCCTAATTTGCCTAATTAAAGAGCCGCCTCTGCAGTGGTGTGATTGCAAAGTTCCTCTGCTCTGCAATATTTCACAATTACCTGACTCAAAAGAAAAAATATATTATTTTTTTTATTCATGAACATAATTTTTTTTTTAAATACCCAAATACACTATATGTTCCCTTTAAACAGCATACAATAAATGCTGGTTAGACTAAGCATGATTGACTGCCTAAAGACAGGTCAAGCAACCATCCTGTGAGACACTGAGCTCATATTTTTCTACTTAAATCAATTCCTTTCACGGCTGAAAGAAAATTTTTTACTCACCTTCAGTGAAATGATGCAAGGTGGTAATTCACAGGCATCTAAAGTACATACTGATAGACAAAGAACTTAATCATTCTTTGTCTAATGGGCAAATACTTCAACCATTAGATGCTAAATGAGATTACTTGGAATAATGTTAACATTATTCAGTTTTTGCTCCATGAAGAGAACAGGAGAATAAATAAAACAATCTTAGGGCCCATTCAGACCCCAACGTCCAAATGAGGCGTGTTAACATATGTGCATTAAAGTGTGTTTTTACATGCATTCACATACGTTGCAGCCCACTCAAATAAATGGTCTCGCAATGAATCAAAAGAAAACTGGCATGCACCCTTTTCAGCAACTCAGCACATCATAATGCACAGTACATTATAGTGTGCTGTGGTGCATTGCAAAACATGTGTGTTGAACTTGCGTTGCCTTAGTTGGTGAGCATTTAAAAATACATGGCGCTACCATGTGCTAACACACATAACATGCAATGACATGTTATCGGGTTAACTCGTGTGTTACTGCAATGCACCAGAAACATTTAATTTGGCCTTAATAGATTATGCATGTTAAGGTCAAAGACTGTTCTAAATCATGGAATATTTTATACGATTCTCCTAAATCAAAATATAAAACATTTCCCTTGCAGTCCTTCCTAATGGGAAACTATAATGGTTTTGTGTTAATTGAGTTTAAATTTATAAATTTCTTTCAACAGACAAGGTTAGTGCAGACACATACATTTGTGTGAAAAAGAAAGTCCACTCTCTCTCTTTGAATTTTATGTTTTTAAGTATAGGGACATATTAAAAATCATCTGGTCCTTAGCAAGTCTCAAAATTAGGGAAATACAACATCAGATGAACAACACATGACATATTACACTGTGTCATTATTTATTTTACAAACATAAAGCCAAAATGGAGAAGTTATGTGTGAAAAACTAAGGTCACCTCTACTGCTTCCATAGGAATTAAGAGGCTAAGGGGTCTATTCACGAAGCTGCCGAGGGCAGCCGAGTGAATGACCGATCTGAAGTGAAGTGAGCCGAACACTGTTCGGCTATTCACTTCAGGCTGGTACGGCTAATTTCAGCCGTACATCGGCTGAAATCAGCCGTACATCGGCAGAGAGGTGCTGCTAATCCAATGTCCTTCATTAGCTGATCATCAGCAAGCGTGACTACCGCTATAAAAGCCGAAGTTTTAGCAGTTTGCCGATCTGGAGCATTAAGGTTTGTGTTGACACAATGCCAAAGAGTCAGTAAAAAGGGGGCTTTTCTTAAACCTCTCGTCTGACACTCCTGGAAGTGTGGGGATGCAAAGTGGCACAAGTGCCGCTGTAGCAAGTAGATTCTGTGCAGAGTTCAGGTGCAAAGATCCAGCGGCTGGAGACTGGTTAAAGTCGAGCAGCAGAGAGGCCAAAACAAGAATCAAGAGCAGAGTCGAGGTTATGAACCAAGGTCAAACCAGCTAGGCAGCAAGGTACCACATCAAGAGCCAGGAACAGGGTCGGGATCACAAGCCAGGGTCAGTACCAGCGGATTGTTATTTTGGGGGCCTAAACCGGAACCTTAAGAAGATAAATTGGCATGTGGCAGAGGCCTAAAGAATCCAACGCTGGCTTGTGGGAAAATCCTAAAGAACCTAACTAATCTAAAGCTGACCTGTGGAGGCCTAAGCAGGAAGGTGGCAGACATCCCAACCTGAAAAAATTCATTTCAGAGAGGTGCCCTCTCCCAACCCCCCCACCCCCCAAAAAAATTTGCAAATGGGGGAGAGGGCACCTCCCTGAAATTATGGCAGATAGCAGGAGAGCTTAGGAGCTAATGCTTCCCTTGCTATCTGTTGTTTTTTTTGTATACTGACAGCTCCTGCCCTCAGGATACCATAATCACACAGAGTGAGCATTTTCTGAGGAGTTTGCTGTTACGGATAGTGTCCTAGAGAACTTGGGAGAAGCTTCTACCGTAGGAAATTGGATAGGGATTTCTGCTGTTCAACCATTGAGGCCTGGTGCAGACCTGAGCGATCCAGGATGCATGTCCCAGGATCGTACGGTCCTGCACAATTACAGACAGCGCTTGCCGCACGGCCCCATTGATTTCCATGGGTTACATCTGCGTGGCAATCGCAGAGAAAAGGTACATGTACTTTTTTTTGCAATACACAATGCGCGGCTGTTTTAACAAAAAAAAATTCTGAGAATAATAGCACCCACAGCGTGACCGTTGGTGATGGGCGACTCCGTGACCGCACTGCAATCCGTGCGGTTTTGTGCATGATTGCTGCGCGGTCACAGATCGCCTAGGTGTGCACCGGCCCTCACGGTACCTGTGACTTTGCTGTTTTCTAGGATCAAAGGCCAATTTGTCATTGGGAGGCTGCTTCTGATGATACCTAGCACTACCATTCATTTCCATTGGTAACAGAAAGCCTGAAGAAGTATTGATGGTTTTAGTTAGGTATCCTGTAGCCCTAGCCATCTGTCCACGAGTTATTGAGCAAATAAACCTTTAAAGCTAACGATTGTTACCATGGGTGGGTCGATGTGTTGTTGTGTGCAGCTACAAGAAGAGTCCCTATTAAGACAGGATAACCTATTAAAATCCAGCAGTTCCTTTGGGGGTGAGTGCTACAGATACAATACTTTCTGATTTTAGCTAGAGATGGTGTCATTGTTTGGTGACTAACATTAGCATTTTAGTATTTACTTAAACTTGCTGCTTGTTTTGAAATAAAGTATATAATTCGATTACTGTTTTGTATTAAAAAAAATCAAAAATGCATTTTTAAACATTTTATTCATTTGACATCTTGTAATAAAAACATTTGAATGGTATACATTAAAACCATACACCAAATGAAAGGTTTATATGTTATTAAAAAAACAATAAAAATTTGTATTTAGGTAGGCAAATTAGTCTCAGTGTCTGCATATCTAGGCGTCAATCACCTCTGGTCATGAAAGGGTTAAAGCATGAGCTCAAAGTATGGCAATGTAAAATAACAGTTTTAAAATAGACTTTTAGATTTTATTTTGATGGCTTGGATGAAAACTAGATCATATTTTAATAAAGCCATTTTTTATTTCTCATACCTTATAAACTGTTTTGGGTTGCTGGTAAGATAAATTGTTTTATAACTTTTGACAATGTTGTTTAAATAGCATGTATTTAGAAAAAAAAATAGTTAAAAAGTTGTGCAGTATATTTGTTTTGATTAACTTTATCCAACAACATTGATTTCCCAAAGGTTCAGTGAGGATATTAAATGGATGACTGGAAGACGTCCAAATATATATTGGCAAGCAACATGGAGATTTATTAGTCCATTGCTAATGGGAGCAATGTTTTTGTCATATATAGTTGTTCAATTTAGGACACCTTTAACTTATGAAACATGGGATCCTAGTTATGTAAGTATGTGTTATAATCAAGAATAAAATAATGTTATGCCTCCTTACTCTTAAGCAGTTATATTTCATGCATAGTGTGTTAACATCATAAAACAAAGGCAGCATTTCCACAAAAAAAACATACCTGTAGCAAAATCAGGCTCCATTCACACAGGAGCGGTGCGAATATGCGCAGAGCCGCTGTAAATTAGGCTATAATTTCAAGAAACCTGGTAGTGCATTAACACCTTTTTATATCCCATCTTTCACTTGAGTTTCATACATACATGCAGGGCCGTAGCGAGGGCTAGGCGACTGAGGCTCTCGCCTCAGGCGCAGGTGCGGGAGGGGGCGCAGCCAGGGCTCAGCACGGCACTGACAAGTGGGCCCGCACAGCCTGCAGACTCTCCTCTGGATCCCCACTGCTCTCCCCCATCTGTATGGGCAGAGGCAGCGGGGATCCGAGGAGAAGTGAAGAACTGCACCCAGTGGGGAGGGAGGGGGGCAGAGGAGAGAGAGAGCCGCTTGGCCAGGATCTGGCAGCCGGCGGCTCTCTAGCACTCTCTCCTCATTGCTCGGCTATGCTGCTGTGCACTCTGTACAGAGGCTTCTACCCATTCACAAACTGGTTGATAGTAAATATTTTCTGAATGAATGGGAAGCCTCTGTACTTTCCATTCATTTAGAACAGGGTCTGCAGAAAATACCCATTTTTTTTTCTATTTTAAAAGGGAAATATCATGGGGCTGTTTAGACCCCTAATAAAAAAAAATTTAATTAAAAAACTAATAATAAAAAATCACATCCTGGAGGAAGGAGCACATGACATCACATAATCCCGCATGTGCGCAGGGCCGGGTGACGTCACATGCCTGTTGGAGGGCACTTTTTTTGTTCCTGCCTCGGGCGCAAAAGGAGTTAGCTACGGGTCTGCATACATGAGAACAATCTTGGAAAAATAACTCTCTCCTCATTGCTCGGCTATGCTGCTGTGCACTCTGTACAGAGGCTTCTACCCATTCACAAACTGGTTGATAGTAAATATTTTCTGAATGAATGGGAAGCCTCTGTACTTTCCATTCATTTATTCATTTAATATCATAGGGCTGTTTATACCCCTAATAAAAAAAAATGTAATTAAAAAACTAATAATAAAAAATCACATCCTGGAGGAAGGAGCACATGACATCACATAATCCCGCATGTGCGCAGGGCCGGGTGACGTCACATGCCTGTTGGGGGGCACTTTTTTTGTTCCTGCCTCGGGCGCAAAAGGAGTTAGCTACGGGTCTGCATACATGAGAACAATCTTGGAAAAATGTAAATTACTTCCTCTTACATCCCACAGCTTATCTCACAGTAGATAGACATACAGTATCTGGTTGTCTTTTCTCTATCATGTCATCAACTGCCTTCTTAAAAGACAATCATACAGGAATTGTTTTATAATCCGAGTGGTTTCAATGCAATCATTCAGTTAGACTATGTATATTTATTATTCTTATTATTGGTATTTATATAGTGCCCACCATTTTATGCAAGGGTTGCACATTCACATCATTCCCTCTCCTCAAAGAGCTTACCAACTGTTTTCCATTGGCCGGCGGTTCTGCTGCTGTCAAAAAAAAAGAAGAAAAAAAACCTCTCTCGGCCGCCAAGGAGAGAAACACGGCTTTTTTTATCTTTCTATTCTGACACGGCTTCGGGTCAGAATAGAAAAAAAAAAAACATTTTTGGCCATAGGAATGCATTGCTAGATTCCTATTGGCTATTTCCCTTTGCAATAGCCAATAGCAAACCAGCTATTGTACCCGAGTGCAATGCTAGTTTGCTATTGGCTATTGCAAATTGAAATAGCCAATAGGAATCTAGCAATGCATTCCTATGGCCAAAATTAATTTTTCTTTTTTTCTATTCTGACACGGCTCCATGTCAGAATACAGAATAAAGAAAGAAAAAGCAGTGTTTTTCTCCTTGGCAGCCGGGAGACTCCCGAAGCTCCCGGGAGAGTTTGCTGCCTGGAGATCAGTGTCCCTGGTTAGCTGGTAACCAAGGACACTGATCTCTCTGCAAGTGGCCGGAGCCTGCCGTAACATCACGGCTGGCTCCCCCAAGCTGGCAGAAGCCGGCTGTCGGC